ATTCAAAAATTTCTATACAAGTTGCTCAGTCACATTGTTGACGTTCTTTATGTTTGAAGATTTGCATTATTTCCATTCTGATTCTACAATTCCCATTAATTTAGTTTCCCTGCCCCCTTACATTCTTACTTACTTTGTTTTAAAGTAATGGCTGACCATTTGGTCTCATATAGATGATTTTTAAAGGAGCACAGCACTTAACAGTGATATTCATTATTTTTTTGAGACAATTTTTTTATTTAGCTACAAAGTGACCTCAGGGGTTAGTTTCTGTTGCACAGTGTTACTTTAATGGCAATTTCCCTTATTCCTTCTAAGTCATTAATTGGATTTCTTCTATAAGAGCTATCCCTTCTCCCCCATTTATTTATTTGTTTATATATCAGTATGAACTCATGGATATTTAGTTTATTCTCTGGGTTATAATATACTATCTTTATTTATTGTGCTGCTTATATTGCTCAAATATTTGACCTTTGGGGTTCTACCACGTTGATTCCTGTGTCCTTCTGATAAGTCCCCAATCTTTTTTTTTTTTTTTTTTAGCAGTTCCTTATTTTCTGGCACCACAGGATGCTCCAGGCTGATCTGGTATTTTCCGTATCTCTACCCTGGAATCAACTGCTTCTATAAGGAGCACAAGTTCCATTTATTAGACAGTGATAGTTAGAAATCAAGATCTCAGTCAAGGAGTATGCTCATTGTTATCAAAGTATTATTGCTTTTAGGCCTTCTTGGTGAACAGAGCTTGGAAATACACATATATACTCTAAACTAAAAACTCACTGCCCTGGAGTAGACTCTGACTCATAGCAACTTCTCCTTGGGTTTCCAAGGTGGTATCACTACAGAAGTAGATTGCCCAACCTTCCCTCCCAGGAGTGGCTGGTGGGTTTGAACTGCCAGCCTTCTAGTTAGCAGTCAAATGCCTTAGGCACTATGTTACCAGAGCTCCTACACATGTACACACATGAGTATATTTCTATATTTATCTTAAATTACTTTTCCTGTCAAATCACTGAGTTACAGAGAAGTTTAAGGAAGATAAGTCATATTTATTTTATGGTTGTCCTCATATGCCCTCACCCTTTCCCCAGGTGCACCTTAGTTTATTAGGAAAACATTAGAGTGTAAGAGGACATAAATATCTACTACCATATTTTTACACAAGTAGCACACACCTTCTACATTTGTTTTCCAATCATTCCCTCCTCCTGAGAGGTATTTTTGTAAACATGCTATGAGTTTTTTTTTTTTTTTTTTTTTTTTAACAGCCGTATGTTAAAAAAAAAAAAAAAGGCATGGCAGCACTTACAAGAATACTTCCTGGGGAAGGAGAGTGATTGGCAAACAAACAGAAGGTGCATGTTATTTGTGTAAAATATACTATTTCTACTGATGCAACATTTGGTTGCAATGCATAAGCCAAAGGACCCTGACATGAAAGAACCCAGGACCACTGCAGGCCTGTGGTATCAGAAGGAAAAGCAACCAGTCAACAAATAATGTCTGTTCACATAAAAAAGTTATCTATGCTACACTTAACCTTCTGGAAAATATGGAGTACAGAGACTGGATCTCACTCTCCCATTTGACATAACTAAAATAACTTCTTGTTGTTGTTTGTTATGTGCCATTGAGTTGGACTCGACTCATAGAGACCCCTCCTTGGGTTTCCGAGGCAGTATCACTAGACAAGATATATAAAGCTGTAGTGTTCAACACACTAGGCATTATGCCATGAAGGACAGTGATCCCTGGCAGAGGGGAAACACACAGGGGGAGCACTATGATTGTCCCAGCTTATTCTTGTGAGTTTCCAGATATAAGTGTAAAGAGGGGAACCCAGGAAGAGCCTAGCAGACTCCCCTAGTTGAAGAGATGGTGCTGAGAACACAGGGAGACCAAAGTATTCATAGTTTGTAGACAGACAATGGAGAAGAGAAAGCTGTACAGACAGAGACCCAAGAGATTTGCAGAGGAATCCTCTCAAATATTCAGCAAAATAGTGAGCAGTATATGCAGTAAGGAAATTAGATGAGGCTAGAGAAAGAATCATGCAAAATAATTAAAGGGAAAAATGCCTGGTGTTCACACAGAACTACAAATAGTGCATATTCCAATCAGCTAGACTAGAAAACCTCATAATTCATGGGTTATTGGGCAGAGTATTCAAAAAGGTCTTGCCTACATGTTGTTAGGTGCTATTGAGTTGGTTCTAACTCATAAAAACCCTATACAAACAGAACAAAATACTGCACAGTAGTGCTCCATCCTCACAATCCTTGCTACACTTGAGCCCATTATTACAGCCACTGTGTCAATCTATCTTGTTGAGAGTCTTCCCCTTTTGTGCTGACCCTCTTATTTTATCAAGCATTACATCCTTCTTCAGAGCCTGGTCCCTTCACACAACATGATCAAAGTAGGCGAGACCGAGTCTGGCCATTCTTGCTTCCAAGGAACATTCCAACTGTACTTCTTCCAAGGCAGATTTGTTCATTCTTCTATCAGTCCCTGGTATTTTCAGTATTCTTTGCCAACACCACAATTTAAATGCATCAGTTGTTCTTTAGTCTTCATTATTCATATTATTCTTTCACATGCCTTAGAGTGGATGAAAATAACATGGCTTGGGTCAGGCTGACCATAATCTTCAAAGTGATATCTTTGCTCTATGACACTTCAAAGAGGTTTTTTTGTACTACATTTGCCCAGTGCAACATGTCATCTGATTTGACTGCTGCTTCCATGGGCATTAACCATGGATC